GAACCAACCCACCAAGATCAGGTTATCCCAGGCAAGACACCAAAAACAACAGCGGTGCTTCGTTGTCACTACCATGTGCATCAGAAACAGTCTGCTTTGGTTTCTGTTCAAATGAGATAGACCTAGAGTCAGGAGTCTTAGGTCTCAGAAGGGCCAGCGGTGGGCCTCTAGATTGGCCCCACTATCTCCGATTTCTCTCTAGAGTCAGCGTTCAACAGCTCAGCCTCCTGAGCATCTTGTATTGACAGACCCACCTCTGTACCACACCTGTCCTGAAGGAAAACTCCTGGGGTACCCCCAAACCAGGCTGGCTCCCAGCTGTAGGGGGAAAGCCTATGAAGTGCAGGACTCCTGTCTAAGTGGGCTCTTTGCTGGGTTTCTACACCCAGAGCTCTTGGCTAATGGCAGGCATTTGAAGGGGAGCCGAGCACTGCTCACTCTGGAATGCCTTCTAGTCCCCATGTGCGAGGGAGCTTCAAAAAGTCTGAGAAAAGGTGTTAAAGATAATGGAATGTTTGGCTCGAACTTGCTGAAGCCCCCGTGTGCTTCCTAGCTGCAAGGGAGTTCAGGCTCAGCTCCTCCGTGCTGGACCACTAGTGAATTAAGAGGCGCCTGGGGGGAGCCCCCACTCCTTGCCAACACCCTTGTTTGTTTCTGCTGCACAGTGAACGGCCTCCAAGCTCGGACCTTTGGGATCTGGACCCTGCTCTCGTCCGTGATCCGCTGCCTCTGTGCCATCGACATCCACAATAGGACGTACGTACGTAGGGAAGGGGGGCCAGGCAGGCCCATTGCCTTTGGGGACCCAATAATCATTTTGAAGATTAGCCCAGGATGTGGGACATCGAAAGTTGATAGGTTCGAAGCCTCAGAGGCATAATAGGCCGAGCGGATCTTCCCTAAAGCAAGGCCAGATGTGGAATGGATGTAGCAGGAGTATCATCATGCCCAATAGCCTGCAGTGCCCTCTTCCACCACTTGTTACAGAGCCAGCCTTTGTTCAACTAAACTAGCCCCCTGAATCCACCAGTTCCACATCCACACAGGTTGGGGGCGGGGGGGGGCATTCATTGGTCAGCGTAACCCCTCAAAGGCTAAGAGCTATTTGAAGAGCGTTTACATTGTACCAGAGATGACAAGAGACCTGGAGCTGATTTGAAGTGCACTGGAGGGTTCAAGCCCACCAGCCACCTATTGAAAGAAAGACGAGGCTGTCTGCTGCTGGAACCCATGGTAAAGGAGCTCCGGGGGCGTGCTGGCGTAGGTCAGCAGTTCAAAACCACCAGCCGCTCCACAGGAGAACGATGTAGCTTTCTCCTCCCATAAAGAGTTCCTTTCTCGGAAACCCACAGTGGCCAGTTCTCCCCTGCCCGCAGGGCCGCTGAGTGGACGTCGACTTGATAGCAGTGAGCTTGTTCCTGGGAGTGGCCTCCAGGACAGCGGGTTGCAAGATGTGTGCGGATGATAAGCAAATACAACACCATTTACACAAAGGGCCGAGCACTCCCAGAGTTTGCCCTTGGGGGTGGCTAGAGTCAGTCCCCCACTGATGACACTCGGGGACGACTGCTCTTTTTAGAGCAACAGACCAGACACACACCTCATTTTCTCACATTCCTCCTTAGGAAGCAGGAATGCATGGAAACCAGGCTCCATGGAAAGGCAGGGGTCCCAGTCAAGTCCATAATTGAAGATGAAAGAGAAGCCCGGACTCCTGACTTCTCCCCTTTGAGGAGCCAAACCTCTGCCATCAAGCCAATCCCAGCTCCTCGCGACCCACCCGAAATAGGGTTTCCGAGGCTGTCTGCTTCCCAAGAGCAGACAGACTCATTCACCCCCACCCCGAGGAATAGCTGGTGGGGGTTGAATTTCTGACTTCAAGGATGGCCCGGCAGGGCTCCTCCAGGTCTAGGTACTGTACTGGTCTAGATACCGGTTCTGGCCACTGGGTGGGGCTCAAGCTTCTCCACAGTCAGCATTATGAGGCTGTCTGCTTCCATGGAGTTACCATCTCAGGAAACCCACAGGGGTAGTTCTGCCCTGCCCCAGAGGGTGGCACCCTGTGAGTCAGAATTTCACTCGATGACAGCGGGTTGGGGTTGGGTTTTCATCGTCCTGGGGGGCCCTGGTGGCATAGCGGTTACACTTTGGGCTGCTAACTGCAAGGTCAGCAGTTCAAAACCACCAGCTGCTCCACAAGGCTTTCTCCTCCAGTAAAGAGTTGACAGCCTCCGAAACCCACAAGGGCAGCCCTACCCGTTCCTATAGGGCCCCCATGAGTTGGGGTGGGCTCGATAGCAGCTACTGACAGCCCTGGGAGGGAAGCCGTGATTGCCACTCCGGGTTATGTCGTTCTGCGTGCCAGGGAGGAGACCTAATTAATTGAAGCTGAGGCCAACGGCCTCCAGTGGGATTTAAAGCAGCGCCATTGGTCCGAGGTCTCTCCAACTGTATTTTAAAATGTGTGGTGATTTTTTTTTTTCCCCTTTGAACTGGAAACTGTGGCTTATTTGTCCTAGATTGACGTGTATTTTTGGAAGCAGTATGGTCTAGGGGAAACAGCCTGGGACCGAGAATAAAAACAAGGAAATGGGTTCGGCCCCGAGGCCAGTCTGTCAGTTGCGAGTTGTGGCGACAAGCTGGTTGTCGACTTGCCCAGCACCTACCCCTTCTTCGTCTGTAAAATAAAGAGCCACGTCTGTGCCGTGCCTCGGGGAGACTGAGAGGGAGAAGAGCAGGGAGTCCGGGAGCACTTTAAAGAGCTTTGCCGTGGTGGGTGCAGACCTGTGGCATACGGTGTTACACACGGGACTGTTCACCACAAGGTCCGCGGTTCAGACTCACCAGCTACTCTGAGGGAGAAAGGAGGCTGTCGGCCCAAGCACAGATGTCGTAAACCCAGGGAGAAGCTGCCCTCTGTGCCGTGGGGTCGCTGTGAGTCAGAATTGCCTTGGCAGCTGTGGGTTGGGTTGGGTTGGGTTGGGTTTGAGCTTGGGTTTGCCCTGGTGGAAGGTGGTAGCTCGGTGTGAGGACTGTATCGTGGATTCGCTGTGCTATTGGAGTGGGCAAAGATGACCCAGACCTCCCGGTACCTCTGCTGCCCATCCCTGTGTTCCCCCTCCCAAGCGAGCTGATCACTCGACTCCCCTAGGACTTTGACCTGTGCACTCTGATCCCATTCCCTCCCTGCCAAAGGCTCAAAGTCAACACCCAGGCGTACAGATCTACTAAGGGCAGGAATACATGGACCTGACCTGACCTGTGGCCATCCCGTCGGTTCCAACAGCTGGCCACCCCAGAGGGTTCCAAAGGCGGCGATGGTTCCTGAAGTCGAGTGCCACATTTTGCTTCTGGGGACTGTGGTGGGTTCCAGCCACCAACCGTTTGATTAGCAACCGAGCACCCAACCCCTGGGCCACCAGGCTTCTTGGAAGCACACGCAGGAATGCCAAACATCACACTTGGGGTGCCGGCTGCCTCTGAGGAGGGAGCGGGGAGGGAGGGAGGAAGATCAGTTCAGTTCAGGTCAGGACGGGATACACAGGGCACACTAGCTGTTGCCTGTCGCATTTCATTTCTCTGAAGAAAATCAACATGTTAAGAAGTGGCAGAGCTGAGTGTGGGCTGCGTCGAGGTTCGTGATGTTCTCTGTCATTCTGTATGTTGTCAGTGTTTCGTGATCTTAGGGATGTCATGATGAAAAGGTGTCCATCTCTTCTACCTGGCGAACAGCGGGAGGGCCACGCTCTCTTCCCACGAGGAGGGTGTTCTCTAAGTCCTGTGTCTGCCCCCTTCCCAGTTGGTGGCACTGAGTATCGGGCCAGTGTGGCAGGAGCATCTCAAAGCCCCCGGGGTCCTTGCTGCCCATCCCGTTCAGGCCTTCGTCCTGTGGCATCCTTCCACGAGACTGAGAAGCCCAGAGCCATGCCCTGGCCAAGTCAGCTTTGCCCACAGTGCCCTCGCTGTGGAAGGCCAGCGTGTGAGCGTGGCGGACTCACTTTTGCTCACGCGGCCTGAGTGGCACGCCTCAGCTATGCTGTAGCTGGGCTTCTCCCACCTCCTCGGATGCCGGCCCCCATCCTCTCTTCTCAGCCCACTGAGCTTTTCTGTGTGCCCCCTCGTTACTGTTGGCTTTAGTCCATTCCAGCCCCCGAGGACCCCCTCACATGCACAGGAGAACTTACCACGGGATGCTTCAGGCGGGGCGGGGCCTTTCAGAAGCAGTGGGTCACACCTGTCTTCCGAGGCACCTCTGAGGGGGTTGGCACTGCCAGCCGTTGACATTTCACTAAGTCTGCTCTTGCGTAGGCTCTACCACATCACGCTCTGGACCTTCCTCCTGGCCCTGGGCCACTTCCTCTCCGAGCTGTTTGTGTTTGGGACAGCGGCCCCCACGATTGGCGTCCTGGCACCGCTGATGGTGGCAAGTAAGCACCCTTCCCTGCACAGGAGGCCTGGGGTTGAGAGGGGCCGGACCAGAAACCGGGAGGAAAGTGCCGTGTCCATGGCAACTGCTCACCGCTCACTCTGCTTCAGGCTCCTCCCTCCTCGGGATGCTGGTTGGGCTGTGGTACCTGGACGCAGAGCCGGTTTCAAGACAGAAGAAAAGGAATTGAAGCCAACACTTACGCTGCCGAGATGCCAGCGTCTTCCACCGAAGGCAGCCTCTCCCTCCGCCATTCGCTGCTCTTTCCTTCCTTTCTGACCCCTCATTAGGCCTCTGGTCCACTTCTAGCCTTTTTTTAGATTGTTGGGTTCATTTTTGTACATTTAAAAAACATTTTTTTAAAGCTATAACCCATCGCCATTGAGTCATTTCCAACCCATAGTGATGCGATAGGACAGAGTAGAGCTGCTCCTGTGGGTGGGTGTCCAGCTTGAGGGGAGCAGACTGCCTCCTTCACCCCCAGAGCGGCTGGTCGGTTCACGCGGCTGGCTTTGCAGTTCACAGCCTAGCTCCTCACCCACAGTCATTGCCACTGGGGCTCCCTTTCCTATGCCATCCACTCCCCAAAAGTGTACGGCGTGTTTGTTCACAGGGTGTAAAGTGAGCAGTATAGCTCTGCGCCAGGGCACTGCCTGCACGGTGTCGTCCCCCCCATCCTTTGCCTTTGGCCTTTTCCCTCTTATTTCTGTCCCTCGATTCAGCTTGCGTGGCGGGGACACATGAACTGAGGAATGCGACGCTGCTGGACCTGGACCTGAACGCTGCATCCGCTGGGGGACAGCCTTCCTCTCGCCAGGCAGCAGTCCCACGGCTCTCCTCCCGGGGCCCCGGGGTCAGAAGACTGTTTTTAGACCTTCTGGTCAGCTGTCTGTGTAATAAATTTTGTAATGAAGAGAAAAGCCCTGGGCTCAGCCCTTTTACTTTGGCCTCCCCTAAGAGGAGAACTGCCCTGCCTCCTTGAGCTCTTGGGGAACCTCGGCTGTTTCCACTTGGCCTGACGGACGAGGACACCTGCCTTCAGCCCGTCATCGGTATGCGCTCAGCTCCTTCCCATTCATCCCATCTGCCCTCCCTTCTCCCCCCGCCTCTGCACTCAGGGCGCAACAGCTGGGAAAGGGATTCCTAAGAAAGCCGAGGGCAGGGCCCAGCAGGATGAGGCAACAGCTGTGTGTCCCAGAGCTGGGGCTTGCTCAGCTTGCTAAGCCAGTTCCCCTGCGATCCTGCCAGGCGGCTGAGCCTCTGCTCAAGAGCCCACAAGACACTGCCAGACATGGCCATTTCTGTCCACCTCCTCAAACCGGCTTCCCCTCTGGAGCTGAAGTGAATGCAGGAATTCTAGGCCTCAGCCCCACCACACTCAAGATCCAACAACTCCCTGCCCTCGGGCCAATGCCAACTGTGGCACCCCACCACACTACATCTAGGGAAACAGCTCTCTCACTGCCAGGGGCTCGATGCTGACTCACAGCGACCCTACAGGGCAGGGTAGAACTGCCCCTGTAGGTGTCTAAAACTTTACAGGAGTAGAAAGCCTCGCCTTTCTCCCAAGGGGCAGCTCATGGCTTTGAACTGCTGACCTAGTGGTTAGCAGCAGCCGACCCCTAGCCCCCGAGTCACCACTATGCCACCAGGGATCCCATCAGGGAAAGAGCTCAGTGGCTTGAACTGTTTCCCCCTCCATTGTAAGGCAGCAATCAGAATAGCAGTGATCTGAGTCAACCTTTTAGTGCCGCCGGAAGCCACCAAGTCCATGAAGCCATAGAATTGAAGGCATGTGTCAGAATCATGACTGCAGAGAAGTCACGGCAGGATCCCCAAGGGAAAGGTGGGTAAAATATGGAGCAGACACTTGAAGTGTTTATCTGGCTTCACAGTCCAGGCTTGGCTCCCAGCCCAGATGACTTAAATTAGAAGGATCACTGATATCTCTCTAGCTAAGACCTGCTGACAGACAGGGTGCCAGCTGGCTAGAGGCATAGTGCCGCTCTCTGGGGAGGAAAACAGCATCACAGCCAAGTGACACCCAAGTAGTCAGGTGCGAGGGGGTAGGGAGGGAGGACGAGCCAGCAGAGAACGCAGCTCAGCTTATGCCGTGGGACTTTGGCCAGACCCAGCCCTGCGTGGCTGGTGTGATTGAAAAACAAACACTTCAGTCCACCTTTGACGCAGAGCCAGGAGCACCAGTGTGCTCTCTGCTCTGCGGTCCGCTGGCCGCCATCAGCGTGTGCGGTGCGGAGAGCACCGGGGCCACACGGTGAGGGCACCGAGATGCAGCTCACTGCTGGGCAGACTGGCTTCCAGAGACTTGTCTCTAAACACATCACCCACCAGGCTGGTCACCTCTGTGTCAGTGTCTCCTGAAGCACGCTGGAACCAACCACATGCAAATACCAAACTCACTGCCATCAAGCCAGGGAGCCTGCAGGACGGGGTAGATCTGCCCCTGTGAGTTTCCCAAACTGCAGCCCTTCATGGGGTAGTAAGCCCCATTTCCCTCCCTCGGGAGGAGCCCTAGTGGTCACACATTAAGCTGCCAACCGCCTGGTGGGCAGTGGAGACCACCAGCAGCTCCACAGGAGAAAGACTGGGCTCTGCTCCCGTCAGCCGTTACACTCTTGGAAAGCCACTGGGGGGCGCTATGAGTCAGCGCTGACTTGACAGCAGTGAATCTGTTTGTCAGCTTGGTTCTGGTTTTCTCCCTCAAGAGCAGCTGGTGGTTTCAAACTGCTGACTCTGGGGTAAGCGGTCCAACGCATAACCACTCTGCCACCAGGACTCCCAGAACAATCCAGGGGGACGGCAAACCCAGACGTTGTTGGGTGCCACCACGAGACTTCCTACTCGTGGCGGCCTTACGTGCAACAACGAAATACCCCCTGGGCCTGCGCCGTCCTCAAAGTTGTTACATTTGAGCCCGTCATCAACTCATCACCTTGAGGGTCTTCCTTGTTTGTGCTGCCCTTACGCTTTACCAAGCATCATGCCTTAGATACCCACGCTTTATCCTGGATTAGGGGCTGGAGGGCAAGAGCTTTCATTGCTGGGCAGGGGCGGAGGGAGCTGAGTGTGTCGGTCTGGGTACTTTAGAGAAAAATTCACAGAAACTCATGTGTAAGAGTTTTATATAAAGGTTAAGTGCACATCAAGAAAACATCCCAATCCAGTGCTGCCCACAAGTCTTAACACTAACCCAGATGTCTATCACCAATCCACAAAGTCCTCCTCTATCTCACAAAAAACACACTATGACGCCGACTGCAGGAAGAAAGCCAAATCAGTGAACATGTAAGCATCTCTGTGCTGGCAGGGGTCTCCACACGACTGCTCCAGCACCCAGGGCTGCATCGGGGTAGGTCCATGTGGGTTCTCCTCAGGGATGTCTTGCAGGAAGTAAGCCTTGCCAGCTGAAGCAGGGAACTGGCTAAGGCAGCTGCACCCTGATCCAACCATCACAATGCAAGAGACCCGAGAACTAGAAAGGTGAGGCTCTGAGCCATTTATCCCTCTGCCCTTCAAGTAACCCCACATGTGTTTATCAGCCAGGTTAGCACAATATACTTTACCTATCTCACTGAGTAATTTTTTCCCCCTGAAAAGGGACACTAGGCCAAATCAGTTTGGGAATCCCTGCTATGTCAACAGACACCCTCCTCAATGGGAGATGTGGAGGGAGCTCCTCTTCTAGCCCTGACCCCCTCCTCTCCAGCCCTCCCCCCAGCCCTGAGAAATGGCTGATGGCCCTGTGGACTGCGCAGCACCGTCTCTGACCCAGAAATGACAAGGCTGACCACTCTGAGTGTCTTTTATTACCTTAAAACATCTGGCATTACAAAGAAACCGCAAATTGCGATCTTAACATAAAACAGTGGATTTGGTAAACGCTTGAATACACTTTAAGGGTCTGGAAAAATAAACATTGTATTCAAACGTGACACTTCCCCACCACTCTCCTGCCCCTAACTGATCCCCCCTCATCGGGAGGGTGAGCCTCTGTGCCCTGGTTCACACCCTAGACCTGGCTCCCTCAGGTCAGCCAGCGGGGTGGGGGGGGGGGCACCCAAGCAGGGCAGCCCTGCGGAATGCCCCGAGGAGCTGAGGCCTGGGCAGCGGCTGCATGAGGACAGCACAGGGCTCACATTGGCAGCTGCTCCTGGGACTCGCCCGCCCTGTTATTCCCAGGAGAAGTTACAGAAGCCCTTGAGTAGCACCAAACAGCCTGCGAGGCAGGACAGGAGGTCAGCTTGCACTGCTCGAGAGGGACGAGCCCCTTTCCATTTAGACCAGTGCTTCTCAACCTTCCTGACCCTTTCATACAGTTCCTCGTGTGGTGCTGACCCCCAACCATAAAATCATTTTCGTTGCTACTTCATCACTGTCATTGTGCTACTGTGATGAATTGGGTGACCCCTGTGAAAGGGTCGTTCAACCCCCAAAGGGGTCGCGACCCACAGGCTGAGAACCACTGCTTTGGGATATTCGATGAAGATGACTGCTGGGAGAGGGCAGCGAGAGGGCTGGATATGCAATAGTTCCCACTCTCGGGGGTTATCCTGCATTCACAATCAGACCCATGGCCACTGTGTTGATTCTGATTCAAAGTGACCCAAAAGGACTGGGTAGAACTGTGCCTGTGGCTTTCTGAGACTGTAGCTTTTTACAGGAGTAGAAAACCTCATCTTTCTCCCAAGGAGCACCTGGTGGTGTTGAACTGCTGATATTGTGGTTAGCTGTCCAAAGAATAACCACTAGGCCACCAGGGCTCCCGGGCTCAGTCATTGGTTCGCCTTTGCCACTTCTCTCACCTCTCGAAGCAGCTTCGGCTCTCAGGGTGGGATTGGCCAAGGGCACTTTCCAGTAAAGCTTAAGAGTGGGCTGGGATTTCCCTCGTGTGGGCTGAGTCTCCTGTGCCATCCATGGTCCAGATCAGGGATCAGCAAACTTTTGAGACAGAAGAGCCAATCCTGTCCCTCACAACAATTTTTAAAAAAATCATTCTAGAGCCATAAATATATTTTTACAAACCAAGGAAGTCCCCGTGGTCTGAATCACCTCCTTTGAAGTATTTCCATTTTACTTCCGAGCCACGTGTCTGTACCGAGAGAGCTGCAAATGGCTCCTGAGCCACAGTTTGCCAAGCCTGGTCCAGATGACGGCATCAGGGACATGCACCAGTCCTTGGGCAAGACTTCTCTGTAAAAGAGAACTACCCTTGGCCCAGGCTCTGCTTCCCAAATCACACCACCTAAGTTCCCAGATCCAGGACTCCACAGCACCTCCAGAGAGTAGCCCAACACCATCACAAACCCTGGTTTATAATCCAGGTCTCCCAGGGATGCCACAGGGGGGTTCTGAGAGAGGCGCTGATGGAGCACTCTGAGCAGGTACTAGACGGTGAGCCCAGGTGAGGTCCAGGCATTCAAAATGAGAAAGCAGGGTGGGCTTTTAGGAGTTGATTGTCAGCTGTTGTTCGCCATGTCAGTCCCACCCCACTCCCTCGTGTGTGCGGAACAGAACTCCGTGGGGTCTTCTGGACCTTTCCAAAGCAGGTCACCAAGCCGTCTCCCAAGGCGCCTCTGGGTGGGTTTGAACTCCCAGCCTTCTGGCCAGTCACCATGCTCTCAGTGATATTTGCACCACCAAGGACTACCCCGGCACGCAGCCCTCCCCCTATTCATTGCTCCTCAGAGACCATGGCAAAGGTTTATTGAAGTTGGGTGTGGACAACAGGAGGCCGAGAGAACCCAAGGAGATGGTCCCAGGATGCTTCCCTCCCCAGACCCTCAGTGCGCAAGTTGGAGGACCCGGGAGGTACCCTCGGCCACAGTAGCTGCCGCGTCTTAGAACTGGACTTCCTGTGAGGATCTTAAAGACACACTTGAAAAAGTGAAAAATCAGCTTTCTTCCCGTGCCAATGTTTCAGGCTTTCCCCTTGAGGGATGAGCTGAAGAGGAAAGGCAAGAGACTGAGTCCAAATTTTGACAAGTATTGCCCAATCAGCCTCTCCCAACACCAGCTCCCAGAGCCCAAATGGGGGCGGGCACAGTCTGCATTTGATGAAAGGGGACACATTTCCCAAATGAAACCATCAAGCACTTGAGGGGCTCCAGGAGGCAGGGGGCACCGCCACCCAAGCCACCAAATTCTGGCTCGCTCCCTCTGAAAGCAGTGGAGAAGACCTTGGTGCGGGAGTCTCAGCTGCCCTGGATGGCCAGGCGGGGGGTCTCCACGGCCTGGAGTTGCCACCCTTGTCTCAGAGATGATGCTCGAACACGGTGGCCTGCGCTTTGCTGGTACTGCTCTCCTCCTGCTGCTCCTCTTCCTCTTCCTGGGGTTTCTACAAGGAAAGACAGGCATTCCTTGGGGTCAGAAGGCACAGGACACAGGCCGGCATCCTGGCTGGAGTCGGCACCTCTCCCCAGCTCTCGCCAGAGGCCACGTTCCCCACCCACGAAGGAACCCGGAACGGGAAAAGAAGGGATTGGCCCACACACCACCTCGCGTTGTCACCGATGGAGAAAAGCACCGGGGAACGGCTTCCTGGGATGCCACCATCATCGCACAACAGGCCCGTCTGGGGACTGAAACACAGCCGATGGATGCTTCCTCCCGTTCTGAAAGCCTAGACCTCACCTGCATTAGCCATCCCCTGCTGCCTGGAGGGCCACATCTGTGACTCCCCCAGAACTCCCCCATTTGGAAACAGCCCCTGGATGAGAGCTATCAAGAATGACCTTGCAAGACGATGAATGACGAACACAAGCAATTCCCTCTTGAGAGAACGTGGCAGTCCTACAGGGCCCAGCAGAGGTGCTGAGCCACAGCAACGAAGGCAACGCGCGGATGAGGAGCCACCGCAGGCGTATCTGGGGAACCCTGATAGGAGAGCTAGGAATCAAGGAGACATCAACGCCTGCTCTTTCCAACTCCAGGGTGAGGACACGGAGGAAGGCAATGCTTAACGGGACTCTGATGCTGAATTAACTGTGCTACCCTCACAGTAATCCTTGTCGTTAGCTTTAAGATTGTTAGATTGTCTGATGTGTGTTTGCAGTGAATAAACTGAGCATTCAAAAATGTCAGAGAGTTAAGCAATTATTGATCCTGCCGCGTATGACGCCCCTACAGGTCTCTAGACCCATTAGCCCAGCTTTCCCATTTGTCCGCTGTTTCTCAGCAGCGCTTTGCCGGTCACTGCAAGGCTTCTTCCTGCGGGGCCAGCCTATGGCAACAGCTGCAGGAATCTAGACCTTCCCTTCCTTGGCTTACTGTGGGCACCGGGTCAGCAATCAGCAGCACGTCGGTGGAGCCTCAATTCATGCAGCCAACAGCCTACCCAAGGGAATCAATCACCCACCACCACCACCACCACCTCCAAAGCCCTCACCAGGAAATCAACCAGGAACAGGGTTGGTTTTGTGTACATGGCCAAGATCCACCCATGAGCAGCAGCGTGCACACCCACCCCAGGAAGACTCTGCCAGTCAAGATCAGTCATTATCCCCTCCCCAGAACCGCTCCTCCTTTTATCAAAAACTACACAACTCCCTAACAAGAGCAGATCCAGCCCAGCTCCCGCAGCCGCAGGCCTGAGCGCCCCCTGCCCCTGCCAGTGAATCTGTGTGCAGGTGACGCTGACCCCCATGAAGTCTATAAGTGACAGGGACCCAGAGAAGGGGTGCTCGGTGACAGCCTTGACTTCCACACTGGTATCAGCCCCCAGGTGACTGGGGGGATGCTGAGAAGACCCTCCCACAATACCACGCTTCTGCTGACGCTCCCAGAGACACCTAGGGCACTGACCCGGGACACAGGCGGTGGGGCCCCCACCTAGGGCTGTCTCCCGGTTCCTACCCCTGGAGGTTTCCAAAAGCCCACACTGAAGGAGAGAGGGCACAGTGCCACCTGTGACGAGCCAGCTAGTCCACGGGCACAAGGATCCTGTGGCGAGGAGGCGGATTTCATTGTACTGCAACCTAACTAGGGAACAGGAGCAGATGGAACCATCTAGAAGTCGAGGTGAGGTTGTCGTAGTAGAACGTAATGTTGCGGGAAGGTCATCAAGCTACCTGAGGTTAACAAGCAAGAGTCGAAGCCCAGGTGTGTGCAGACATGCCCATGAGAACCACGTTGGAAGGCAGGGCGCCATCTCACAAGGTTATCCCTAGGTGAGCGCATGATCGGCCGCTCCTACTTCCTCCTCGCTTGCCTCTGTCTGCCAAAGTGGACACAGATCACAAAGCACAAACCTCCCGTCACCTGACCCAGTGCCAGCCGTATTCCACCTGTGCCTGAGGCCACAGGTGTCATTCTGTCTCCTGACACCAGCCAGGTGGAAGCCGACCTCCATGGTGGCCGTGCCTCGGGCCTCATGCAGGAATGTCACTCCTGCTCTAGGCCTTCCCTACCTCCCTGGTGTATTTCCTGTCCCAGGTGTCCCCCCTCATCCCAGACACATGCACGCGCACGCACACACACAGCACGTGCGCACGCGTCTCGTGGGAAACTCTTGGGGTGGTATGTCTGAGGCTGCTGAGCAGTGGTCAGTCATCACAAAGCCAGTCCATTTGGGGAATTCCTCTACCAAAGGAGCCCTGGTGGCAGAGTGGTTACATGCTGTGCTGCTAACTGCAAGGTCAGCGGTTCGAGACCCCCCAGCTGCTGCACAGGAGAGGCTTCCTACTCCTGTGAAGAGTCACAGTCTCAGAACCTCACAGGAGCAGTTCCGCCCTGTCCTATAGGGCTGCTAAGAGCCGGTATCGATTCCATGGCCCTGAGCTTTTGGCTCCTTCCCTGTTGCCACGACCTCGTCATCAGCAGCCAGAGGCTCAGCCCTCGGCCCCATCACAGGTTCACATACTCACATTCTCAGCAGTTTCTCTGTTGGCTTTCTGCCTCCGGAGGTCTGGCCTGATGAACGCTGAGGTCCAGAGATGAAGAAGGAAGAGCAATAAAGACACAGGAGTCATCAAGCAGATCAGGAGTCAAGTTCATCCCAGGAAGGGAACTCTCGTTTTCCTAAGGGCCACAGGCATCCCAAACCTACTTCAGATGTTCAGGGGAGCTGGGGCGCCATCGCCCAACCCGATCATTGCTGTCCTTGACAAGCAGATGCCAATCATGACATTGACCCTTATTTATAGATCATTTACTCTTGCCAGGAACTTGGCACCTACTGCTCTTATCTTCCCAAGTGCTCTACTCTTCCCAGCAACCTCCATTTCCTAGATAAGGAAACTGAAACTCCCAAGGTCAAGTGGCTCGATAGGTCGCTGTCACAGTCAAAAATTCACCCTCAGATCTTTTGCCTCCCAAATGCTCATTCCACCAATCCACGTTATCATCTTGCAAATAGATTTCCAAACAAGTCCTCTAACCTCTTCCTCTACCTGTACCCCCCCTGCCCTTTGTACTTCCTAACAAGACCCTAGGGTCCCAAATTGCCAACAGCCTCGCTTGCGAGCAACTGGTGCTTCACTCTCACCCCAGGCCCCCATTTACCAGTGAGCGCTGCTCCCAGCGTGAGGAACACGCACAAGAAGATGTTCCCTGGCATGGTGCCGTAGTGGGTGATAATCTGGCCCTGGGAGATGGTGAAGATGAGCCCAAATACCTGGAAAGACACAGGAAAAGGAGAATGGAAACAAGGATCCAGCCAACTAGCCCAGAGGGGTAACCGCCATCACCCAATGCCCGCGAGAGCGGAGCCAGACAGGGTCCTCAGAGCCCTACCTGGGCAGACACATTGAGAAGTCCTGAGGACATGCCTTCTGACTCGGGATACGTCAGCTCCACAGCAAACTCAAATCCCAGTGGGAGATAGCCGGTCATAAAGAAGCTGAAGGCCAGACCACAGAAGCCAGGTGACGGTGTACTTGCAGAACGAGAACGCCTCCCCTTCTGGTTTCCTCTTGTCCCATCAAGGCTTGAACCACCTGGCCACCCACAACATGGCCGTGCCAAGGAAAGGGACACCCCAGGGGACCACACGTGGGCCTTTGCTCTGGGGACCCCAGCTTCGATACCTTGCCATCAATGGCAGGTAGGATCAGCATTGACAGAAGTGGTGGGATGCCTGGTATGTCCAACTTCCAGTGGAGGTTTTTGTGTCTTAGTTACACAGGGTCTATCCTGAGAGTAGGAAGTCCCTAGAGATGATAGATTAAATGTATCCCCCACTCCCCCCACCCCTAAACAAAAAGTGTTATAAATCCTAACCTCTATGCCCATGGTTAGAACCCCTTGGGAGAATAGGTTGACTTTACTATGCTAATGAGACAGGATTAGTGCAAGGTGTGTTTTAAGTCCATCTAGAGATGAGGCGAGCCAGGGAAAGCAGCAGAGGTCGGGGGTAAGAGAGATGTGGAGCCACAAAGATCACCCGGGGCAGAAGCTCAAAGAAACAAAGAACCTCCTTATCCAGAGCCTCCTCCGCTCTGAGAGAACGCATCTGTTACAACAGCACTAGGTCACTAAGACACTGGGTACCGAGCAACATCTCCATGGCTCTCTGTATCTGGGAGGAGGGCCTAGGCATATAGAAGTCTGGGAAGTACTGAGTGTAAGAGGTGTGTGTCTGTCTTGTCTCTCACTACAATCTCATTTGGGAAGGGGCTGTCTTTTTATGTTAACAAGGTCTCTCTCTTTCTCCCTTTCACATACATACATACACACTGCTCCAGGTAAATAACTGGCAAGGGGGCGGGGGCATGGGTTACTGTTTCCGGTGCTTCCTCATCCAGCAGGCCTAGAGAATTCTCATTCCAATGTCTCACATCTGCACCACCCTCTTTGCCTATCACTCAATCTGTCCAACAACTCTACCTGGCGGGCATTGCCATCTTCATGTGTAGATGAGGAGACTGAGACTCAGAGAGCTCAGTGGCTTGGCTGTGGTCTAACAGAGAGCCAGCAACAGAACCAAGCCCAGGACCCAGAGTTCCTGATGCCAAAGCCCTGAGCACTTTCTATGACCACCATGTTGGCCCAGACCAAGGTCCCTAACCACGGTGGCCTTCCAGAGGTCTGTGAAGGGCCTACTTCTCATGTTTCACTCCATCCTGATAGCAGTGATGGGCCTGGGTGTGCAAGGCTGTCTTGGGAAGTCCGCCAAGTCCACATGCCCCTGGGCTGCCATCTCCACATCTCTGGGGGCGGGTGGGAGGATCAATATGGTTTCCTAGGATGCTGGTGGTCTAGGAACAATGGAGTGCTGTTTGTCTATTGAGACAGGTGGGGAGTGAAACTTACCCCAATATGCCAGCTGTGATGAACACTACCCACAGGTGTTTCAGATTCAAGGTCAAGGTATATACCACCATGCCCACCAGAGTCATGATATAAACCGCCAGGGTTGTCTGCCTACAAGGAGAAGCAAAGACACTGAGTCACGGCATTCTGGCTGCCACCGCATCATTCAGTCACATGTACCGATTGGGCACATGCTCTGTATCCCTCTGCTGGGAGCTGGAAGTCCATGTGCTCTCACAGAACTCTGTCCACGGGTGTGATGACTGGCCCTGTGTGGCCAATGCTACACAGAGAAAGGCCAGGAGAGCGGAGGGCCATCTGTGTCTTCCCTTCCAGCAGAGCTCCCTCAACCGGACCAAGCTGCCCCCCTTGGCTTGTTGTGTCCCCCGCCCCCAACAGGCAAAAAGCACACAGCCCTGTCCACCCCTCCAGATGAACGGGACAAACATCAGCCGTCTCTGGTGGCGGTGACATGAGGGATGGCATCTGACTCTGCTTGTTTGCTTTGTCCCAAGATAGTATGGCAATGGGGGAGGGGATCTTCTGGATCAGTGTTTCCCCAAAGTGGATAATACTGACACCCACCCACCCACCCCCCGACCGGGACAGCGATGGATCCAGCACGGGCTGCAACAGCAGATACCTACACTTCACCCTGAATTCTGGGTCACAGTACACATGTTTTTAATTGCCGTTAAAAAGGGACCCTGGGTAATTTTTTTTCTGAAATGGGGGCAGGGAGTCAAACAGTGTGGGAACCTATGGGTTAGATAGTCACCGTCCTCTGGCCGCTTGCACAGGCCTGACGTGGCTCTTGCTGTTGAAACTCCGCCCCAGACTGCGGGGATGGAGAGAGAATGTTCCCCAGCTCTGAGCATGTATGTGCCAGACACCACGGCCCGAGTGAGAACCCAGTGCCCCCACCCTGTGATGTTTCCTGTGGCCGGTCCCCTCAGAAAGACCACCAGCAAAGCCCAGGTTCTCCTTTAGGCCCTGCCCTGCTGGTGCCTCTCCATGCCCCTCCCCTCGGACACCATCCCCCTCTGGCATGACCCCTCCTCACGACCCACGCTCCAGCCTCTGGACCACACTGCACACATCAGCCTTAGGGAGTGAGGTGCCCGCGGGATGGTGCACTGGTTAAAGTGCCTAGCTACTAACCCCAAGGATGGCTGGTCAAGTCCACTCAGAGGCACCTCGGAAGAAAGGCCTGGCTATTGAGTTCTGAAAAAGTCAGCCATTAAAGTCCCCAGGGAGCACAGAGCTGCTTTGATCAGCACGGCATTGGCATGGGTGGGAATCGACTAACAGCAACTGGTTCGTCTGCTTGTGGATTGTTTAGGGGCTGGGAAGAATTGGTACTGGAATGCCTACATCTTGGGGGTCCCTCATCCTGCCAAGAGCTGAGTCTGCAGGGCTGGTGGCTCGTGCTGACTGCAGGATGCAGACATCTAAGGACGCCGGGAAGTGGTGGCATCTAGGTTCTGAAGAAGGCCGAGGAAGCATCCAGCCCAGCCCTTTCGATGTATGTGTGGCTTCTAATTCATCTGACTCCTCTGGCTGCCTATGTCCCAGGCCAGCCCCATTCCAGTCTGCCCTTCCCCCTCCTGTCCTGGAACGGAGGCACTGCTGTTCTCTGGCTAGGGAGTGGCTAGTCCCTCCTGCCCTAGCATCTGGCCAAACCGACCAACTACCTATGGCAGAGACGAGAGGGGCCAGGCTCTCCCCAGGGTGACGGTGCTGAGTCAGGCTCCTCCTTGTATTAAGCGGGGTGGCCATATTCCTGGGGACGGCCTCAATTGGCCTTTGATTCGGGTGGCCAGAGGGAGACTTGGTCTGACCAGGGCCTCACAGAAGTGGGTCTGTGTGCTGGAGAACAGGTCCGCCACTGTCCCTCGCCTTCAGACACTGGGAACTTGGGAGGCCATGACAAAGTAGCCCGGAAT